TTTGGATACTGATGAAGTTACTCCAAAGTGAAGGTGTGTTCTTCAATAGGAATTGGCACAGATATAAGGTAAACAATACCCATATGCAATCATCTAACAAAACAATGGGTTGGTGAAAATTGCATAATTATTCCTTCACTTTCAAAACTTGACCATTTTCACTTCAATGATTCTGAATTCTGGAAAAGTAAAAATTCGGCACTAATATTCCACCACCCAATTTTCCTATATGATTTTAATTCTTGAACTTAAAATTAAAAAAGGAGTGTATAAATTTGTAATTGAAATTTTTTTAGGACTTGGAGAAATTTAACTCAAACCCAAAATATTTTGAATTCCCAAACATTTTATTTATGTCAAATGTGAAATTTAAAACCCAAATGTCTAAACAAGTCATCACATTATACTACCAGGAGATGGAGGGGATGTGTCGGGGCAAGGGGCTGAGTAGGTTTTAGGAGAATTAGACATAGAAGTATCAATTCTACTAACAAATTACCGTATGTCTCTGAGTTATTCTTAAATCATTTTTTTCTAGGGTTAAAAGAACATTGCCAATATCCAAAAATTCACATCACCATTGATCAGTGGTAGTATCATTTTATGGTATATATTGATTTGAAGGTTACTCAGTCCTCAGTTGGACACAGTACCGACCCTAATCCCCTAATCTTTTCAAGCATTCCCCACCCTCCCACGGAAGGAATATGGTACAACCGGATGTATGATACATCCGGGTACTACTCATTCTAAGGTAGAGTAGTACTCATTCTCACACAAATATAATTAGCGTGGTACTCATTCTAAAATAATGCAGTACTCATATTCACACATTGGTTCAATATAATTATAATATTCATCTACAAATAATATACTGTTCATTATGAAACAAATAAATACTCATTCTCAAATAACTTAATGTTAAATAAAATCCATACCATAAATAATTTCTTGATTGTACCCAAAATTGGATACAACCAGATATATAATATAATTTGCCCACCTTCCCACCCTTACATTCCCTTGTACAATCGAGCTTCTTTATTTTTCAATCGTACTTCTTCAGCTTTCAATCTAGCTTCTCGAATGCGGGCTTTCATTTTTTCTAAATTTTCAGTGTTAGTAAAAAGTAAAAACGATAAAATTTGAGCTTGTTTTATTGCAAGGTTTAGTAAGCGTTGTTGTTTTAAGGTTAATCGATTCACTCGTCAAGTGAGTCACTTGATTTATTATTTTGCATTAAGTGTCACAAAAGTACTCCAACTTAGAAGTTTAAATTGTTTTAAACCTAAATATGATTAAGAGGGTAGCACAATAAATAGAAAGAAATCACTATTATTTTTAAAATAGTATTGAAATATTTTTATTTTAAAAAAAGATTATTACACTATGATAAATTGACACTGTGTGTTGACATTTCATAATATTTTTTAGAATTATAGGTTGACATTATTGATATCATATGTCTTATTTAGATGATAAAAATATGAAAGTTTTATTTTAGTTCTTTTTCTATATTTTATTTCTATTTTGATCTTTTTGTTATACATTTGTAAAGTTATCTATTTACATAACTGAAATGTAAATTATGTACGGAGCATTTTTAAGAACAATGTTGGGCCTTTTGAGCAATATTCAAGGAGGAATTTACGTAAATAGCACTAAAACATAATGACTTTTCCTAAATAACAGTACATATGTTTTTTTCCCAATGTAGCACTTTTAGTCATTATCCATTAGTCATTATTCAAGTAAATGTTTGGCATCACTGGTCATTATGGACATTATTAAGTACTATTTAGAGAAAAAAACAATCTAAGTGCTATATAGAGAAATGTCTTAAGTTTTAGTGCTATTTAGTGCAAATATTTCATATTCAAGAGCTAAGTGGTTGA